CGCATCCTGAGCGGCCACATAGGCAGCGTCAATGGACGGAGACGTGTGCTTTCCGCCAAAGTAAGTGGTAGACTTGCGGGACTTTGGCATGGGACACTGTCCCACTATCTCGAATAATCCCGCAGCGATGTCGTTGTTCTCGTCGCAGATGTCCATAAGATAGTCCGAAGCCATACTGCCCAACATCGGGGGGCTCAGAGCCACCCACGACGTCGTCTTGCTGAAGCTGCATTTGCCCTTAGCGAGAGCGTGAGCCATCACGAGTCCGCCCATCGAGTGTGTCACGATAATAGTATTGTCGATGACCTTAGCAGCGACGTCACTGGTACTACTCATCGAGAGCGAGAGGTCGCAGAACCTCTGTTGGAGAGTGTCATTTCTCCAACCTGCGTCATTCGTATTAAGGACAGCGTACTTGATCTCGGAGCAGCAAGGAGCGTGGCCGTGCATGTCACCATATTTCCTCTTTGTGAGCTTCGGGCTGTCTTGCAATTGTGCTTCTTCGTTTGGGTTCCCCAAACCGTGCAGAAAGATGCACGGACGAGGTGTGGTCAGACACGTATCACACTCTGTCGCCTCCATCGCCATGTGAGCCGCTTGTTTAAGTTTCCTCAACGTCTTTGTAGGGACCTCGCTACCAGTTGCCAAAGCCAGCGCTGTTGGCGTTAGGGATGTAGCCGTCTGAACGATTTCACACGACGTAGAGCCATCCGTCAAGTCAGGCTTGGAGACGCTGACGGGGCCGTCTAGATACTCGACGTCGATGTCTAAATCGCTACTATACGCGGTAAACCCAGCCTTACCAGACGTGCAAATAGCATAGTGAGATCCACCGAACGTCGTCTTGAAGAGGTTGCCACTCTGACACTCGACAGACTTGTCGCCTATTGAGGCACTGGGGATGGGTGTGACGCTGTTGAGAGCAGGTAGAATCTCGTCGAACGGCAGAGTGTTGGACGGGAGGCACCGAACGGTTTCAGCATCAGAGGCATCTGTCGTCGTCAGATAGACTGATCCATCAACTAGAGTGTACGTGAGCTCGGAGTCGTCGTCGTGGAACGTCGTGTAGCTGTTGTAGAGCACACTGGTCCCGTCGGCTGACACAACAGGAGAGGCGTAGATGTCAAACTCGGATTGTCCGTGGAGTTTCATGGACTTGCGCTTGAATGTGACATGGAGCTTTACGGACGGAGCATCGTTCAGTGGGGTCGCGTGCGCGAGACCAAGCAGAGCGATGGCGATGGAGGTGAACAAAACTCTCATCGACGCAAGTATTCTCTCACAACTGATGTCTTGTCAATGGAAAACTATCAATGAGCGTTATCGAGTTGAGCCTCTTGACTGACTCGCTGGTACAAACGGGCTTGTGCGTTCGAACAGCTTTTACCACTGCCATCGTTGGACCAATGTGCGAGACGGACAACAGACTTTTCTCGAGTTTGATCCCTCTGGATGTTAATGAGCACCGATGCTCGGATGTGCTGGTCCATTTTATATGGGTCAATTCGATAAAGTGTTGACACTTGCAAATCAATTGACGGTATCTGGATAATCTGAATTTCCGGCTCCCTTGAGTCAAGAAGCAAGGACTCTGGCTTCAATTCTGCATCAAGATGACTGTGAGTAGTGCTGGATCTCTTATGTCGTCATGCACCTCGACTACATGTACAGCATTGGCAGCCATATACTAGTATTACGCCAAGCTGCAAGAAGAAGAAGTTTTTGAAACTTATAAGAAAAAGTTACAAAAATCTAACAAAGTCATATTTTTTGAAGAAAAAAAATTGGCCATTTTGAAGCTTGAAACGGGGTAAGCCGCTTTAACAACATGTGAAAAGACAGCCGATATGTAGGGCGAGTGGCAAGACCAGTGCACACGGCGGCAGGGTCAAATTCGTGTTATACTATGCCGCCAGTTGCAGATGAGCTCCTAGTAAATCGATTTCTTTTTATTGTTTTCCCTCCCCCTGTTATCCGTGGCTCATGCGGCTGAAAAGGTTAGCCCTTCCCAATGCAAGTGAGCGCCCTCTGCAAGATCGCTAACAACTTGAGGATAAGCTAGTTCAAATTGCAACTAAAGTAGCAACTTATAATGATGTACATGTAATTCACTCTGTTATGTACACCTTCATTATATGTTGCCTTAATATTGTTCTTACCCAAATGCACTTTTTGCAACTTTTGCATTTCTGAAATAAAAGTTTAGCCCTAATAAAACATTTTAGACCCTTGTTTTCGGATTCAAGTTATGTTTAGCAAAGTAAACAATAAAGTAAGCAGAATTTGATTTAACTCGATACAGTACAAAGTGTGTTGTTTTTTAGACAAGTCTCAAGCTATTATAGCGCTATTGCTGTCCGAGTTGTTTGCATATATCTCCATGGCGAGGGTGGCCTTCTTTTTTACTTCGAGGTACTTATATAAACCAAAATCTAGCTTCGGTGGGGTCTGCAAGAAGGATGTGTGCACATGTTCACTCGAACTCCGACATATGCTGAGCAGTACAAGTACCAGTTTAAGATTTCCTTTCATGCTTTGCTCTCCCGTCTATGCAGATATGCTTGCAGTCGAGCACCAATCGATGCGAAGTACTGTACATTCAAAGAACGCCACAAATCGCTGCACCGGGATCAGCATGGAATCAGGGAATTCCCGTAAGCTACGGCACAGGTCCGGACACCAGACAGGAAACGTGGCTTCATACTGTCGGAGGCTGAAGCACTCGTCGGCTGCAGACTTGGTTTCGTCACGCTTCCCCATACGCTGGCAAGATGAGGAGAGGGTTCGTGCGAGCCGTAGGTGCTGCTGTTTTCACCTTGCTGTCCACCTTTACAGCGTCCACAGCTGCTCATGATGCTCGCCATCTCAAGACATCGCTGTCCGACTTGCCGTCCTTGAAACTCCATGTGACGCTTCAGCGGAAGGCCTTGGAGCTCCATGGAGCATTCGAGTTTAACGTCTTCGCCAACCCCGTGGTGTCTGCTGACGGGCTTCGAGTGCGTTACGACGGCTATGCGACGTTCGTCGAGGGCCACTCGCGGTTCACGTACGCGCTAGTGGATGGTGCCCCTTACTTAATGACAAACGACAGCTCGTCGGATGCCCCCACCGTTGATTGTATTCCTCCCAGCACACTTCCGTTTGATGCTATCCTCCCTGCGGTAAACGATGCAACACCCATTCCAAGTGCCTCAATTGGTAGCGTTCCAATCGAGTGCGAGAGTGGGAACCTATTCAAGACTTCGTTTGCGGGGATTCACTACGCAATCTGTGTATCAGATGACTCTGGCTTCACTGCGATTGCTAGCGATGTGACTATTGACGTGGATTATCTCGACGCTCCTGTGAGTATCCCACAGATAAAACTGGAGGACGGATCGACGTGCGGTGTCTTAGCAGAGCCCACAGAAATGACGGCTACAGCACTCGCGCTGTTAAGTGGAGACGAACTCCCCGTCAATGATCGAAGAAAGCTCAAAACAGAGTCCCACATGGCAATTCAGTCGACTTGTTCGTGTAAATCGACCCCTCGTCCGTGTATCTTCTACCACGGTTTGGGGAATGAGAAGGACGAACCGACCGTGCAAGACTCTTCTCGTCACTTTGGCTGGGATATCATCAACGACCACGCTCCGTGTTGTACTACGATCAAGTATGCGGCACTGAACACAGTCGACTTCGCGTGGACCGACGGTTCCCTCCAAAAGAAAGTCTGTGACCGCGCGCTGTCCATGTCACCAAGTTCTGACTTGGGTTCGAATAAAATTAAAGACACGATCGTAGTGACCCACTCCATGGGCGGACTGATGTTCGCGGGTGCACTTGCTAACAAGAAGTGTAGTCTTGATAAAAGCTCGACGTGGATCGGACTGAGTCCTCCAATGACCGGCAGTATGTCGTCCGATTATCTCATGGACTTCTGCAACGGGGAGGTTCGTAACCTCATGTCGGACTTGCTGTTCGACGGGAGATGTCCCGTACCACGGTCCACGGCGTCTGTGGCTTATAAAAACGAGAAATACAGCACTAAGGAGCACGATGAGGCGTACGACGCGGCTCAGAGAGTGTACCGCAAGCGCGTCTACGCTGCCATGTGCAGTAGTTCGTCCGTCGGCAACATTTCC